ACTGTATTGTATCTGGAAACAAGCACTTTCTTACTTGCAGCTGCCTTTTTACTTTGTAAGTACCTGACTAGGGAACAGGCCAGAGCCAACATGTGCAGTGACAGAGACATATATGTCTAAAGGCTTACCCCAAGAAGTCCTGCACCGTAGTTTCCACCTTCCTTCAAAGCACTCCTGTGACCTTGCATAAACAGTATTCTCTTCTAAACAAATTGTCTCACTTCTGTATCAAAAGAATGAATTGTAAAGTAGCAAATCACACAGGAAACATAGCTCCCAAGGAACTGGCTTGGGTGCTCTCTTCTACAAAGCGATGGTGGTAGAGGCCAAAACTGTCATTGAAGTTTCATTTCTTTGATACACAGAGTGCCGCAGTGATTTTTTTATTTTTATTAGTAATCAAAAAGAATTGCAATCAAAGGCACTGTGGCATCACTACTGTTTTGGCGCTCTAGTCTCCTTTTAGTGACACTAGCAGAAATCAGAAGGCGCTGCACTGGAGCAATGGAGTTTGCTGTAAGTTTAGGAAGACCTTTCAAAAATCTTCCACGTTGAGTGTCTAATATCCTGGGACCAACATGGGTACAACAACACTGCATATGTCCCTTAACAATCAGTTTGAATGTATTAGTGAGGAGTATCCTTTCCCTATTGAGTCCTCTAAAAGGGAATAATATCAGCCCAACCTGAAGATGTGTTTAAAGAGATGATAACTTGAAGTTCCAAGTTTATCCTTTGAAGTGTTGTTGTAGCCATGTTGGTCCAAGGATATTGGAGAACCAAGGTGCGTAAGGTAATATTTTGTATTGGACCAACTTCTGTGGTGAAAGAGACAAGCTTTTGAGCTACACAGAGCTCTTCTTCAGGTCTGGAAAAGGTACTCAGAGTGTCATAGCTAAATACAAGATAGGGCATATGGCTGGTTTCATGGTGCATTTGTCCAAAAATTCTTCCTCATTTTTGGTCCTATGACTGAGAGATGTTAATGGGGCCACTTCACCTTGAATGGTTTCTTAAAATATGTGTTAACTACTTACGTTAAACAATCTGTTCCAACTTGTATTTAGCTGTGACACTCTGCTTTCCCACACCTGAAGAACAGCTCTATGTAGTTCAAAAGCTTGTCTCTTTCACCAACAGACATTGGTCCAATAATATATTACTTCACCGACCTTGTGTAAGTTTGTTCTGTTTATTTAAAGCCTTATTCTATTGGTTCATATCATCAAATGTCTGTAACCTATATAATGACAATCAAGATCCTACACTCCACAGATTTAAGAGTATTTGATTTTCCTAACACATTCTCCTTACCTGGCTCCAATATGGCCAAGAAAGGTCTCAGGGAATAGTAAGAGGGTCTTTTTTTACTTAACATAAAATAGCACCCAAAGCATCATATCCAATAAATCAAGTTTATGTTTCTGCTGCTGGGTTAAATACAGGCTTTAACCATACAAGTCTTGCCTCATCAAATCTGACTGCCAATGCAAAGGGATGGACATCTGTTTATTTTCAGACTAGCACACAAAAAAGGAAAACAGAATCTGATCTATTTTAAAATGTTATTAATTGATGCATAAACAAAAAGTCTTAGATCATGGTTGGCTGAAAACAAGACTCATCACATAATGAAATTCAGCATGACCGTATCAAAAGTCAGCAATGCTGCCATGTGCAACGCTGATGAACCAGTTAGATCACATCTGATGCCTCCCCATTAATATCACAGCAGTCAAATAGTTTTCTCTGAACTGCTGCAACCAGTTCAGCAATGTAAATGTTTGTTTCCTGATTAGCTAAGACCTCTAACTTCTTTTCCCAATTAAAATATCAGTTAAAATGAAAACTGGCAACATATCTGATATGTAAAGCCAAAATTGAGAGCTTTCTAGTTGCTTTAAGGTCCCAGTCACGCAAGGCTTTACATACAGACTTAACTTTACACACTGAGTAGTCCCACTCACATCAATGGGATCAATTACTTACAGTGGGTACAGTTAAGTGTGTGTGTACGTCTTTGCAGGATCAGGGCCTAAACCATTCGGACTGTCTGACTCTACATTGAGTCCATTGACTTCATGTTTCAGCAAGCAGTGAGCTTTACTGTGCTTCTCAGGGTTTAACCTTAGGTTCTCCTCAGTCAGTATTTGGCTCAATAAAAGCTTTACTTTCAGCTCCAGTGATGTAGAAATGGGCATGCACCAGAATCTGAGCTGATCACCCCCAAATTTTGGAGGAAAACATTCAGCATCCCACCGGGACGGAGGGTGGAGGTTGTAGCTGTCTCTAAACAAGAGTCGGTATCTGAACTGAAATCACTAATGATTTTTCTCCCTTACTTCAAGCTATTTGCATACCTTGCATGAGTGCCTACAATCTGTGAGGAGCATTCAGAACACCCCAGGTGGCATGCTCCCACCCCACTCTGCTCATGAGCTAACATAAACCACATTTTGAATTCAGTCAGTGACTAAAGCAGCAGGAGAAGAAAGCACTCCCAAAACAATGCACACTTCCAGCCCAAAACACCTTCTGGAGTTTGTCATTGTCTTTATTCTCCCCTCCAGTCATCAGGTGCTATAATAACAGGTTAATCTCAATAGTCTTCTGCTTTCCCATGTACAGGTCCAATGGAACCCTTTCATTGTTACTTTGTCCGTAAAACTGTGTTAAACTGCCTCAGTAATTCTTAGTGTTATTTTATGAAGACCTCAGACAAGCTAAATGTGCTGGCCATTTTATTAGAGAGCATTAAACAGCTCCTGTAAGTGATTGTACATGCAGTGCTTTTGTAATGCAATGACAGATTGCTGTACTGTGTATGTTTCATTTGTATAATCAATTAAAGCTTACTTAAAAAGTGCAACACCATCCCTTCTTTTAAAAACCATGTATGCCAAATGGTTTCTGAAGGGTATTTTAAATTCATTGCATATGCCGTACTAGACATGTGTCAGTGAGAGCCAGGCATGCAGACTACACCTGAAAATGGAAGCTAATGCAGTGTTGCCTGTCCTCTTGGGTACCAATCCAGCAAAGCAGGTGAGGGTTCCCATTAATGTCAATGGGACTGCTCATGTGTTCAAGTTCTTTGCTTAGTCAGGACTGAACCTGTGCATTAGGGGCAGAGTGCTGTTGGAGCGCCCATCTTTCAGACAGCAAGCCATGAGCCTCACAACGTCTCACTGTATAGAAAAATCAATTCCAAAACAGAACACGCCAGCCACTTCTCCACCTGTGGAGAGCATGAGAGAAACACGTGACAGATGGGTAGTCACAGCGGTTAATGCACTCCTGCATAGTGCTCGGTGATGAGCACGGGCTAAGAACCTGTCTAGACCAGAACAATTGTGACCATTATGTATCCCATGGCACCTTACGGATGTTAGTCCTGCAGCCCTGCTCACATACATGCCTCACTACAGCTTCAACTGGATAGGATACTCTTCAGTGCTTGTCCTAGCCTGCTATGCAGCACTGCTATTCACTGTCCAAGAGCCCCTGCAGCCCCAAAGGAGGCCTGCATTGGGTCTCTCTTATTTACCTCACCGGGCTGTTGGAGGCCTTAGTTAACTGATTGCACAGATTGCTAAAGTGAGTTAGTTGAGGTAGGGACAATGTCTTCCCTAAGCATTTCTGCGGCATCTAGTACAATGAGGGCTTGTGTAGGACTGCTGGGAACTACTGCAGTATAACTATTCAATAATAATACAGTTCCAGTGTACAGAAACAATCTCCGTCCCTGCTCATGTTGGGGATCTGTCTGTTCAGACAGTAGAATGGTGTAGCTGGTGATGTCCTTCGGGGGGAGGGAGGGAGCCTACAGCTGTCAGTAACAGACCAGCTATTGCACCCTACCAAGGGAAGGAGAAGAAGAGCTAGAAGTAAGGCCCCCAATGCTATAGCCCTTGCAAAACGCCTGATGAGCTCAACAAGCTTTGCAGGAATACTGCAGGATCAGGCTTTAAAATCTCAAGGGCTTTAGCAATAGTGAGAGAGAGCACTGCTGCGCTCTGGAGTGCGAGTCAGGGCACGCATTTGGACAATTTGTATTCTCTTGGGTTCTGTAGCAAATTGGCAGTATTGGTTGATCTCTCGCCTAATTAGCACATTTCTCTCCTTGCTTCCATGGCTGTGATCCAGCTCTTGGCCAGTCTCCACTAACGCACAGCATCTCAGCCTTTAAACACGTCCGATTCCAATTCAGCAGTTCCAGCTGGACAAGTGCCTGAAGAGCCGAGGACTCCGTTGCAGAGCTCGCATTCAAAATGAGGCTTAGGAGCTTAGGATTTTCTAAAAGGCTTGCGTGAGCTAGTATTTCAGCAGAGCGCCCACAGGGCTCTTCACACCCAAGCACCACACTGTAGCACATAGAAGGGGTGAAGGAGTTCATCTGGAAATACTTATTCCACTTAGTACCCCCAATATTTGTGGGACAGCAGGCAGGATCTGTAACAGAACTTCCTTTCAGAATGCCTCTTGCTATCAGACTCCACAGCAGAGATTAATGTTTACTGGCATCAACGGTCAATGATTAGGTGAATTGAATGGCTTGAAAAGCACCAGTCTATATGACAGCCCTGGACAAGGACGACAAGTGAAATTGTGGACAGCCAAATAGACGACACCATGGACAGTGGCAGTGCAAGCTGCCTTACCTTCAAGGCCTGCTCTCGGATCAGGAGGTACAACCACTTGGTGTGAGATTAGGTCAGTCTCCATGCTGATTCAGTTCTTCATCTCTGCTGAGATTGCTAAGAAGGGTGTTAAATAGTGGTAGCTGTCCCCTAGATACTGGACCAAGGACACCAACTCCTTTCCTACAGGGCACTAAATGGTGATCAGAGGAGTAGAAATTGCTGATCACTCAATGCCAACTTGACAGGGTAACAATCTCCTGCTCCCCACGCTGTCTTCTTTCTGCCCCTCCAGATCTTACCATCAGTTCAGCTAACCTACAGATCTGGTACCAAAGCAAGGAAATTACTCCTTTGGAACTTTGTTTAATTCAACATAATTCTCATAAAAACCTAAGTCCAAAAGCAACAATCTTTAGAGCAATTTTCATTGAGCTGTGAGACATAGCTCACCACATTCGGGGGGGGAAAAATCCGCACGAAGAAAACAAAAATAGGGTGAAAACTTGCTTCAAACCATTAACCGGGATCCTGGAATGTATCTAGACTCTGACCACAAATTGGATTCCCCGCAGTTGGTCGTGCGCCTCTTACACTGGAAACAGCGTCGGTACCTCTCGCACTGATCAAGTAGCATGAGCTTGTCCCCGGCACTAAAATAAAGAGAAATGTGTTAAATGTTATTGACTAAGGGAAAACAGAGAAATAAGCTGCACCCATTCAGCCTCATCCCCACTGTAGTCAATGGGAATTATACCTGCTAATGCCAGAGTTAGAACTGGCTTTGTGTCTGGGTCTCGGATCACACAGAGCCCTCCTGTACAATACAATTGGAGGGTAAAGTTTGCAGCTATCCATATAGGGGCTGAGAAAGGCAGGATCTGGGCCCTTCAACGGAAGTAAGCCAGTGCAGTACACAGCTGACTGCTGCCAGTCTGGTTGCTTGGGAGGTGGCATGAGAGAAAGACCAGACTAAGCTGGACTTTGGAGCCCACCTGTTGGTAAATCTAGAGAGCCCTTTAGACGCAATCCACCTCTGTCTTAATGTATAGGGCGCTCTAGAAGCGCCCCTCTGTGTGTGAGCGGTGTCTGATCAGCTGTTCTGATACAAGGCTCCCAACGCACAAGGCAGAGCAGAGTGGTTCTGGCCCACAAGAGGTGGCCACAGAAGACCCACTAACTCAAAGGCACCTCTAAGGCCATCTATACATCATCTATGGCAAACAACAAAACACCTAATGTACTTAGTTTTTGTTGGTCTTTTTCAAATGAAGATTGCTGGCTCCTGTCAGTGAGTCCTTAAAACAGACCTGGTAAACAAAGGGATCCCTCTATGCACTAGCCACACAGCAGGAGGTATCACCCTCTCTGTACTGCATTAGAAGGCTAGCAGTTATTATATGTAGAGATATCCCATCTCATAGAACTGGAAGGGACCCTGAAAGGTCATTGAGTCCAGCCCCCTGCCTTCACTAGCAGGACCAAGTACTGATTTTGCCCCAGATCCCTAAGTGACCCCCTCAAGGGCTGAACTCACAACGCTAGATTTAGCAGGCCAATGCTCAAACCACTGAGCTATCCTTCCCCCCTTCTGACATGTCCAGCCATGTCAGAGATCTGACTGGCTATGTGATGCTAAGTGCTTTATAACTTGGCATTAAGACATTCCACCTGGGCTGTGGTAATGGAGCACTAAAACACAATTTTAAGTGCCTAGATATGCCTGTTATTAGGCTCTTTACACTATTATTCATTTTTCAGAAATCTTTTTAAATCCACCTTGTTTGGCATTTTATGCAGCAAAGAGTCCCACCTCTGGAAAACCAGAGTAGACAGGTGAGAAGATAGGAAGGGAACCTATGTATATCACAGTGCCTAGATATCCCACTAGGATTTTAACCTTAAGCAGGCTTGGACAGATGTTACTGAAGGAGTAACCTGAAGACAATAGGTTTAACACAGGTAACATTGAGGGCATAAGCTGACAACATGTATTTTAGGCCTGTGGTTCTCAACCAGAGGTATGCCTACCCCTGGGGGTACACAGAGGTCTTCCAGGGGATACAGCAACTCATCTAGATATTTGCCTAGTTTTACAACAGGCTACATAAAAAGCACTAGCAAAGTCAGTACTAACTAAAATTTCATACAGACAATTACTTGCTATACTGCTCTATAACCTATACCCTGAAATGTAAGTACAATATCTATATTCCAATTGATTTATTTTATAATTATATAATGAGAAAGTAAGCAATTTTTCATTAATAGTATGCCGTATGTATTTTTATGTCAGATTTTGTAGCAAGTAGTTTTTAAGTGAGGTGTAACTTGGGGATAAGACAAATCAGACTCCTGAAAGGAGTACAGTAGTCTGGAAAGGTTGAGAACCACTGTTTTAGGCCATAATTTGACCTGCAGAGCCTTGGTGATGATGCACAGGATGGAGAAGTCCCAGCTTGATTGTCAGAGCCCTCAGTGAGTTTCCAGGGCTGCCCGTTTGAAATAACATCTTTTTACTTGAGCAAGTGTGATCCGTAAATCAGTGAGAAACAGTGTATATGGAGCCACTTGTATAGGAAAGAATTGCACTTTAAAACTCGATTCTTTTGGCTAGCCTTCCATTAACTGTCATCTCCTGCTTTCTTGCCATCCACCCAAACAGAAAACAGACAGTATAAAATGTCAGTACAAATCTGCAATAAAAATCCTGGAAGTGAAGAATGCTAATCCCGTGATTCTGTTCAAACGGAGTATACTTGCAAACATTTTCTTGCCCCAAGTCCTATTGGCAGTGACTTTGGGTGGGGGGTGGGGAGTTTTGCCTTCCTCTGCAGTGTAGGGCACAGGTCACTTGCCAGGATTAACTGGGTATATCTCACTTAATCAAGTCCCTGCCATTGTGGGGGCCTAGGGCCCTGGTGCACCTTGGCCCCTCCTGTTCTCTGCCTATGGCCACATAACAGTTTAGTCTCCTGTGGGCTGTGATACTTTGGTCTGATTTTGGTTGCTGGGTGTAGTGTGCAGGTGCAGAGTGGTGTTACATAAGAACATAAGGACGGCCATACTGGGTCAGACCAAAGGTCCATCTAGCCCAGTATCCTGTCTTCTGACAGTGGCCAATACCAGGTGCCCCAGAGGGAATGAACAGAACAGGTAATCATCAAGTTATCTCTCCTGTCACCCATACCCAGCTTCTGGTGTTGGTGGCCTGTGATAAACAGGAGGTCCAACTAGATGATTTAGTGACCCCCCTCTGGCCTTAAACTCTATGACTAGGTGCCTATTTGTATCTCTAGGCACCTGAATACCTTTAGAAATCTGGTCCTTATATCCATTAGCTTGGAGATCATGGTGGACTCAAATTTCTTACATGGTCCAGCTACTACAATGGGACAAAGGCCTGTACTGCATTAATATGGTTTTGCTTCTAACCCATTCAAGCACAAAGCAGTACTGAGATCAGTTAGGGGGTTGCCACTTCCCCATGCACTGAAGGCAAAGCACTGCAGTGGGTATGACTGGCGAAAAGATGGGCACTGTAGCAAAGTGGCGAAAAAGGAAGACGGGAAAGGGGAAATCCCCTCAGTGTTTGGGAATCTTACCGCTCAAATAGCTTCTCTTCAACTTCCCTTAGCCTTTTCATTCCAGCGCTTTTTTGCCAGTCGTCCTGCACTGCTAAATTCATCTGGAATATTTTCTCAAACTGCGCTCCTCTGTCTGCAATCCACCTGAAACATTATTAAAAACGTCTCTCCTATGATTCATGGATGAATCTACCTCCCACTCCCCCGCTTTCTCAGTTTGTCCCTGGGTTTCTTTAACCACAGCCCCAGCGTGGTGGGCTGTCTAACATGACTCCCCCTCCCTGCCAGCCACAGAGCTGCTGGAGGCTGTGACAAAGTTAATGACTTTCACGTGGACCCAGAGCACTACCTGAGCCAGAAACCCTGTGGTGCTTAGAAACCCCACATAGCCTTGTGCAGATCTGGCTGCTCTTGGCAGAGCCTATGAAGGCCACCAGCTCAGCTGAGAAGATTAACTACAAATTCAGGCGCTGGTCTGAAATGTTCAGCCAGAAATGGGCCCAATCCACAAAGTTCAGCTCTGACTGAGTTAATCCCAGCAGAAGGCTCCAAGTCTCTCCACTTAGATCTGATCCAGCAGAGCACTTAAGCACAGGCTTAATTGTAAGCATGTGAATAGTTCTCACTGAAGACAGTAGGACTACACATATGCTTAACTTTAAGCCTGTGCCTAAATGCTTTGCTAGACTGGGGCCCTAAAGAGGAGAAAATGCACCCTCTTGCCCTACCCCAGAGCTCTGTGAGGCAATTTCATTACTGCTGTTGAATTTTCTCAAGGCTTCATTGGAAATGGTGTACTGGACTGAGCTGCAGGCTTACTCTCTCTTGGCTCTCTGCAGCATGTCAGTTTCTCTCCTCTGCTCCACCAACTGATTGAGGATAGCTGTCCTCTTCCGCTGGGCTGTGGCATGCAGCTGGTGCTTGTAGAACTCCTGGGCTCGCTGCCTTTTTTCCGCAAGCTTCTCATTGGTCATATCACTCTTCCCAAAGATGAGATCTGCTGAGTCAGGCTCACAGACCGGCAACTGTATCGGCTTCAACTTTATCTGTATTAGGTTGATATGAAGATTTTACTCATGCCTGGCTCTGAAAACGTTGAATGACAGAAGCTAGGGATGGGAAAAGACCTATTAAATCAGCTAATCCACTTTCTCAATTCTGGATTTAAATGCCACACCCAATGAGGATTCTACCACTTCCCTTGATTATTTTATAGTTCAGTCAGGAAGCATTTTTTATTGATATTCAAGTCCATATTTTTCCTTTTTAAATATCACCTTATAGAGGAGGCAGCATGATGTAGTGGATGAGGCACTGGACTGGAAATCAGAACACCCTAGGTTCTATTCCCAGCTATGCCACTGACCTGTTCTGTGACCTTGGGCAAATCCCTTCACCTCTCTGTGACTCTGTTTCCCCTCCTGCCCTTTGTGTGTTTGTCCCTTTAGTCTGTAAGATTTTCAGGGCAGGGACTGAATGCTACCTAAGCTCTTGGAATCTAGTGGCAATTTCATTCAAAATTTCTCAAAACATTCCATGATGACTTTGTATAGTGTGACGTTGTGCAGTCTATATGGTCTTATAAAAACTTGATAATAAGTCAATATAATGTAACTGAGCTGGTTTTAGAGAAAATACGGTAATAAGTGAATGTAACGTAACTGGGATATGCTTCATGCAAAAGGTCTCTTGTAAGGTATCATTACAAAGCTTATAATCTACTGAGTATGATCATCTGATTTGTATAAATGTACCACTCTTGTAGCTAAAACTAGAAATATAAA